TCCCATCTATCTGCACACAAATACACAAACATCACATTCATGCATGGCACTAAATTATGAGCTTTCCTTGGTTCTAGCTTAACACACTGCAGGAACCTAGTGTCTGATATTATATGCCTCAGTATGTAATTTAATAGTTCAGTTTAATACCGTAAGGGTAGCCAGTGTTAGTTTAGAGAAATCTATGTTGGTTAAGCAAACCATTTTGTCTTTATATATTTGCCTTTATACATGAAAAGAACCCTATGAATATGGTTTTCTAAACACATTTTAAACATTAGAAATTGTTGAGAATATTCGTAGTTCAGGTTGTAGGTTTTGCCAGGGGCTTGTTCTCCAAGCTTGCTGTTTAGCTCCCGGACGTTTCATTACCAAACTATGTAATATCTTCAGTGGGGTTTTGAGGTGAAATGTCTTGTTCATTTATATAGAAACACTTCACCCAAAAAACCCCCGCTGAAGATGTTACCTAGATTGGTAGTAAAACATTCAGGAGTTCAACAGCAAGCTTGGTGAATAGACCTCTGCCAAAACATTTTAAACTTCCTTTCAACCCTGTTATCGTATGGGAGTTTTTCTATGGCAGCGCCTGCCCCATGGAACACCCTTCTAAACACCCCCCTAAAGTTCGGCAGGCCTATCCCCTCCCTCAATTTCCATAAAGTACTGAAGACCTGACTTTTCCCCTCAGACGCTCTGATAAGACGAGGTGATTGCACAGTGGAAGCTTGACTTGCACCAGGCTTTTATTTTTATGCACTTGATTTTAACAGTTTTAATATGTTTTTTGTGTTGTTTTAATTTTTAATTGGGAGCTGCCCAGAATTTGTTATAAGATGGATGGCTATATAAATGTTTTAAATGAATAAATAAATTTTGAGTTGTACAGCAAGATCCTTACGTTAAGAGTTTCCTTCCAAGCCCCAATCAGTCCTATCTAACCGTTAGTGATGAGGGCTACTAAGAGTTGCAATCTAATAATACCTGAAGCGCATGCATTGTCTCTCCATGTTCAATGGCTATGATTTTGATAGTCAAAATTCAATAAGCTAGAAAGAAAAGTCACAGTATTACAATCTTTAGCAGTTATAGGTGAAATGGAGTAGGAAACTGACTGACTTTCAGTTTACTGGGGGTTGGGCAGAGAGATGGAAGCAGAGGAGAGAGAGAGAGAGACGGGGTGGGGGGAACCTAAAAGAGGCAGAATGATGGATGAGATGGGAAAATTGTCTGGTAGTGTTTGTTTCAAACCTTTAGCAAGAATAATTTATACTTTCCCCCAAAGTCTGCTTGCATAGAGGAAAAAAATAGAAAAAAAGAAAGAACGAAGGACACCTTATCTAAATTTGGTACAGGCTTTATCATCCCCTCACAGAGAATACAAGTTCAACAGAAAAATAATTTTCCCTCTCTCCTTTAGGATCAGGATACAGTAAGCCACAAGAAAGAAAACATGCAAGTTGTAAAGGGCATGGAAGCCTTTTCAAATTTCAGGGCTGATCTGCAGAAATCCTTGTAAATTTCACAGCTGAAGCAGGAAGCCAGTCGACCCTTTAAAGGCTTGTTTGTCTAAACAACTGCCGGATTAAAAATGAATAAGCATCATGCAAACATTATTACTAATTATACTTTTTCCACAGACACTTAAGAGATACAATTTTATCTACGGAAATTCCAGCGAACAATGCAACTATTTTTTTTCATATGAATTGAATATAGATTTCTTTTTATACTCATTGCTATAACTGAATATTTACTAAAATGTTTAACAAAACATCTAAAAGCAATTTTCTTTTATGAGAAAGAAAGGACAAAACTTACAGAGAGGTGGTTGTATTGCTAATATCTCTGTGTTAAAAGGAAGCCAGACGACACCTTTGTTAAATTTATTTAATGTATATATTTTTATCACTTTATCACTTTTAATATGTTTTGCCATTCCATTTCCTTTTATGTTAGTATTTCAATATATGATATCAAAAGCTAATAGAGGTATTATAATGAAAAACGCAGAAAAATATTCTAGCTTGCTTGGAAAAAAATTCAAAAGTAAATTGTACCAACTTTAGGATCTATAGCATATGGTGTCATATATCCAAGAATTTACAAAGATAAACATTTTCTCAATTGTTTTCTTTTTATATGCCACAGGGTGGCACTCATGCTTGGCATGCTTTTCTACCACATAAACAAACAAACAATCCTACGTAGGGAAATTAAAATTATCTTCCTCTAACATTGTACAGTATTTTCTAAATTTATATATATACAAAATGTTTTCAATCAGATCTGCAATCACATTAGGTAGAAAATATTTGTTTTTTAAGAATGAAAAACTAGTCTCCAGATACTGTATTTAGTACAATGCAATCCATAATACACTTCAATAAATGCATTTGTTTCCCGCAAGAATCTCTTGTCATAATTAAAATACATGAGGGACAACTGAACTCACACCTAGCATTAAGCTCCTGGTTTTGGCTTGGTGTTGGATCAAAATTATGACCAATAGATGTAAAACAATTCACTTTTTGAAAACTTTAAGTACCTGTATCCATATTCTTAGAAAGTTGCTTAATAATGTTTCTAGACGAGGCATTTGTTATGCAGTTACAGTTTTTCCATCCAAAGACATTTGGAAATGATAATATCTGCTGCTTGCAAATCATGTTTCAGGGATAACTCTTAATGCTGACACTGTCCAGTTTCTTTAAGTTACTGATAATATTATCATGATTATTACTGAAATGGGGCAACGAGTCCAAATCTCCTGAAAAACTCTATGTTTGACACAGCGATTGTAGAATAAATGTCCTCTCTGGAAGTTCCTAAAATCTGAGAAAAATAGAAAAACATAAGGCCTACACAACGGCTATGATTACATGGCAAACTGTAGTTAACTGAACTAGGTTTTATCCAACTAATCCATTTTTTTTAGATTTCCAGAACTACAAATTAATAATAACATTCTAAGGTAAAATGTAGTTGCTACTTTTAAGTTCTTGGTGCCATATGGAAACAGCTGGTGCTTTTTGATTGATACTGTTTTTTAATAGAGCCATCTGATTTATGTATTCCCTATTCTGATTAGCAGCAATGTTTCCAGGGTTTCAAATTAAAAAAAAAAAAGCTGGAGAAGAGTACGGGGAAAAAACCTAAGTATTTTTTAGGAATGGGTCTCCATTTTCACATACTTTCAATTTTGATCTATGATCCTTTTGGAAATTTAGCTTGCCTGCAATTGCCTTGCGTGGAGGGAACATTCAATTTCTGCCACACTCAGGGAAAAATGCAAAACAGGTTAATCTTTAATAGAAAATATATTATCTTGAACTACAAGAATGTAAGTATTGCCCTGCTGGATCAGACCCCTGCCCCATCTAGTTCAGCAGTTTGGTCTCACTGGCCAAGCAACTGCACAAGGAAGCCCACTAGATTCCCAGATGACATTCAGTCACAGATTAATGGTTTCCATGAACTATGTACATAGGACCTCTGAAGTTTTAAGAGTTGTAGCTTTTGAGGAAGGCATTGATAACTTTGCTTGAAGCCCTTTAATAGGGGACAATAAAGTTTAACACGGAGCCCCTTGAACTTAGTATGGGGAAATTTCAGGTTTCCCATGGCCTCGAATCCCCCTCCAAACAGCTATACAGTAGTTCTTAAGCTCTCACCTTTCCCAAATTTGCATTGTCCAGAATGGGCCTGGTCACCCTCAGCCAACACAAAGTTCTTGCAGATGGAGTATGCTGAAGAAACCAGGTCAAGAAAAGTTACACGTGATTTGAATAACATACAACCAGCACCAAGGATGGTGGAGTTATTACCAGAGGGGGAAAAAAGCATCCCTTCCTTGAGATGAAGTCATTTCCTTTTAAATCCATCTACTTTTCATCATACTAACATAGAAGTGGCTACTACAGCTTGCTTGCTTGCCTGCTTCATTCATTCAGTTCATTTATTCTGTCCACCCATCTCAAATTCATGACAACAGGTGGCTAACATTATCAAAAATAATATAAAACCTAAAAAACAGAAAAACAAAGCAAGAAACCCCCACAATAAACATAAAACCACAAAAGAATAAAAACAGACCTTCAGTCACAAGTTAACCAAAGTATGGGCTCAGTCCCACCTCCTGATCTCCAGATGTTTTTTCAAGTTTCAAATTTGGATTACAATATTAGGATATCTTAGGGTTTTCTTATTCAGGTTTTATCTGTGTAGCTTTTTCAAGATCGGCCAAGCTCAGCTACACAGTACACCTCTTAGGCAGTGCTTCCCAAACGTTTTCCTTCATTACTCAGAACTGCTTATCAGAAAGTCTTTTCAATATCAAGAAAGTCCTTATTTAAATGTCTCTATTAATTGGGTAATTGGTTTGTGTGTCTTTACCTAAAGGAAAAAGAATACTTTTTTCCCAATTTTGGGTGATTTACCCAGATTTGGAAAGTAGTCTTAGAGACCCAGGTCGGTAACTTGCAGTCTATCCCTTCTCACCCAGGGTTGTTGTGGGGAAAATAGGAGGCATGTTAAGTTATATATAAAAAGGTAAGAGAAGGAAGGAAGGAAAATATTGCTAATTCCAGGAGAGCTACATTAAATACTTAGGATAAGTGTTAGATGGCAGACAGCATATCTAAAACTCTGGAATTCTACTGTCATCTAGCGACAGCTACTTGTTAAATTATTATTAGCCTTCAGCTACGTCCGCTTGCTCAAGAACTCAGCCGGGAAAGCCCCGAGGGCGGGAGGAAAGTGATTGCTCTCCCTGACCACGCCCCTTCTTGCTTTGCATTGGAACCTTCGGACTCTCGAAGAAACATGGAATTACACCCGTGACCTTAACCGGAAGAGCTGTGTTTGCATCCGGTTGCCGCTCTAGGCAGCGGAGATGGGCGTGCTGTCTATGGTGTTCGCGCGCTTTGTGATGTTTTATTGTGTCGCAGAGATTCGGCGGCCTGGAAACCCGGAACCGTCAGGAGAAGCGGCGGCGGCGGCGGCGGCGGCCGAACGACTGTGGGTCGCTTAGCGGCCCGGTTCTTGTGGGAAGCCGTTGAGCAAGAGGAGGCGAAAAGACCGTCGGGCTGTACGTCAGTAACGGTCTTCGTGCCGCGAACCGTTGCACGCGAGCCTACGGGGAAGCGGGGGAAGAAGTGCTGGGGTGGGTCTTTTTTCCCCTCTTTTCGTCTGGCACCTTGAGATCGAGGAAGAGCTAAAGAGGTGGGAGAAGGAAGGAAGGAAGGAAGGAAGGAAGGCTGGCTTCTGCGCCCAGAAAGGGCCGAAGAGTTGGTTGGGTGCAAAGGGGGGCTGCTACGTTTCTTGTTCTCCCTCCTCCCCTTCCCTCCGCATCTGCTCCGGCTTTCTCCATCTTTCTTCCCGTTTCGGCCGCCCGCATTAACCCGAGCGGGAATGCAACGCCATAAGCCAGCCTTCCCCAACGCAGTGTGTGTCCTTGGGTAACAGCCAGGCTCGCAAGGGCGATAAATGAGCATTGTAGCCCAAGAGATCTGGACGGTAACGGGTTGGGAATGGCTGCCTTATTCGCCCTCCCTGGGAAACAGCCAGCAGCAGGAGGAGGAAACGGCGTCCTCCGCAGGCACTTCTCTGTTTCCTGGCAACCTCAGTGACTCACGTTAATAAAAAAAGTAAATAAGCTGAAGGCCCTACCTTTTCACCGTTGCTGTTCTTTCTCGTAGCCCAGTGCTCCGCTCTGTGACCTCTCCGGGTGTCAGAAAGTGAAATGGATCCGTGCAGAGATCCAGTTTTGTTCCGTCATATGATTAGGGTTGCCAGGTCTGCTTCCAAAAAATAGCGGACAAGCGGAGGGGGGGGGGGTTAAGTAGTAAAAAAAAAGTAGACTGTACAGCTTTAGATTACGTACCATTTCATCATAAAGCTTTTGAATAAAAAAAAATGTCCACTATTTTGTGGAAAAAAAAATAGTGAACATAATGTGAAAAAAAGTGGACTGTCCACTCAAATAGTGGACACCTGGCAACCCTACATATGATTGTCTCTACAGAGGCCCAGATTTATATCTTGTCACTGAGGCTTCATAATACTGTGCGTCCTTTTCTAAGACAGGCTTTTCTAAATGAAGTCCTTAAATAGAGCCTGGATATAGCTATCCACCTCGCAGTAACTTTAGACCGCTCTGTTGTAATATGTTATACGTGGGACCTCTTCTAAAGAAATTCCAGTTTATAGAAAATACAGCTGTTAGGTACCCTGGATTGATAGAAACCATCTCATCGCTTAAGTAGCTATATTTATTCTGTACCAACACAGTGTTCAATAGGTAGAGTTTCTTGCATCCTGTAATTTTCGTCAGTTGCCTTTTGCGTTCCATTGCCATCTGAAGTTACGTGGATGATAATCTGAGACAGGCTTTTTGACTGCAAAACCAGATATTTGTTGCATTTTGAATTATTTTTTCTGTTTGCTGCAGCATTTTAGAAGTCTGAATAGTGGATTTTAATTCCTGTTTTATACTTTAGTCATGTTTATTAGGCCACTGCAACTATCTGTCTGCCCACTGTTACTGTTAACTTGTTTAGTTAACTCCTTTGTTTCTAAGAAAGTATATTGAAAAGCAGATTATTAATTGCATTAAAATAATACTCAAAAAAATAATCCCTCAGAAAAGCATAATTGAAGTTAAAATGCAAACGAGTATCTTCCCTACCCCCACCCCCCACCTCAGAAAACCCACCAACAACTGAATCTGGAGTTCATAGAACAGGATGAGAAAAATAAAATGAATTAAAATGAGTTTCAGGTTAATTAAAGTTGTCATATTCTAGAAGACAATCAGGTAATGCAGTAAAGGTGCTCTGTGAAAACACATATTTACAAATATGTAAATTCACAAATCTAGGATCCCCATTTTTAGGAGCTCTACTTTAATTATTATTGGGGTCTCTCTTAGAATGAAAGAAACTTTCTCTCCAGTATCAGTCATCTTCCGCTATATGCTTTCTATTCAAATAGGCAAAGCTTGAGGTATTCTGGAATTGGGATGTGTACCGTCAAATTTATATCTTTCATTCAAATAACTTCTCCCTCAAATAACATTGTAAAATTGAAATAAATGCCTCTCATTGGATGACTTGCATTTTGTTCCCCATGTCTTGAACTCTTGTTATCATCTCTGTACAGCAATATTAAAATTTAGAGCTAGATGAGGTGAATATACAACAAATCTTGCTGGCCTGGCCTTGAGCTATTATACTATGTGGAGAGGAGTTTACACAACTGCTTCTGTCCTGTACTCCTACTCCTTGATTATTGGACCTTGCAGTGATGACAATAGGACAAAACAACTGAATTCTATTTTGCCACTATCAAAATAGTGGCAAATTTAAAACACTCCAATGGAGTGAAATTCATATAATCAGTTCTTAAGCTGAAATGCATGCCAATCATCAAAAGAAGGAATTGGTTCCTTTAGAATATATAACTAATATGCAAGTCTTAAAAATTATTAAAGAGTAACTGTGATGAATATTCTTAATTGGAGGGTGGAGTAATATTGTAGATGAACTTTGAGTATATTACAGAGCATCCAGCCCTTTGAATCTTACTGGATCTTATTATGTGCCTCTTTTTCTACCCGCAATTCTGAAATTTATGATAGCATCCTAGAGAAAAAATGCAGAAGTATTTTTTTATGAATCAGTGAGTGTATAATTAAGAAACAAGTTGTGTATATGTTCACACATATCTGAACTCAGGAATAAATAAATCACTATTTGGTGGGAAATGAATTATTTTTAGTGGACAGCTGCTAGCTAACTTGCAGAAAGCACTTTCAGGAAATGGTATCCAGAACTTGTATAGGTTTCCTGTATTATCCTTTCCTCCAGTAAAAGATTTATATTATTTTTTTCCTCTCAGTTCCCCAGCTGCTATCTTGAACTACCAGATGGTCTCTTTCTTAGTTTTGAATTTTGAAATAAAATTTTTGAGCTGAAAAAAAAAAGTGTGAATAGTGTGAGAACCATCAGTTGTTACTGAACAAGTCCTGTTGTTCCTTAGCATTGGCTAAAGGTGATAGGTATTGGATTTCAAAAATTCATATAATATCCATTTTCCACTCTTATTCGTAATTTAAGGTGAGCTAGTTAAGGAATGGGTTGAAGATTTCCCTAATTCAGATACTTCAGACTATGTTTAGACAGATTTTTATGGCTGAAAAATAATTGTTAGAAATTAAATTGAAGTAGAATAACTTTAAAGAATGTGTTCATTTTGGAATGCATTTAGATTTTTCAATGATAACTTAAGATAATTTCTTGATTAATAGATCTCACCCATTTCTATGCAGTAACTTTGGGCATGATACCATCCAGTATGAGCAAGCTCCAATTAAGTCCAAATGAAGTGGCGCAATTTCTTCTGCATAAAAGAGCAAAAATGTACATTTTACACTTTGGTCGAATATATTTCATAATTTAAAAGAACATGTTGCATAGAAATGCTGAATGTCACAATGTATTTCTCTCTGCCATCAGGAGTCAGGAAAAACATT